TGAATAGATTTTTTGCCAACTCACAATAACATGTAATTTCATATATAGCTTCTGCAAGAACATATGCACCCCCATTGAATTTACGTATTAGAGACAGTTCTCAAATTTATAAATATCTGACCAACAGATTAGAAGCTTAAAACCAGATGATGCATCATTAGCACCTCAGCTACCAAAGCTGTTTGTGCTTGTTTCGTGAATAGGTAAGAATGCTACTGTGCCTGAAAAAATAGAAAAGAAATCAAAAATGGGCCAGACGAGAAGTCCTTAAGCTTAAACATCAGAAAAGAAATAATACTAGACACGCACAATTCAGATAAAAAGATTATAAGCCTTCCGGCTTTTAAAACAAAAACTACAGAGTACAGGAGAATTCTCTTGGGCCCACCGACTTCCTCATAATCTGGTTGCACAGGAAATTTTGAATATTTACTGTGATTTCTCTCATGAGATTTATGCCTTCAACAGTTTAGCCTACTTTTCTTAAGAAAAAACTGACATGCAAAGTAAACAGCCCCACAAACTACTCATTTGACATTATTAAATTAGCTCCAATCTTTTGTTGACTTCTTCCCTTTCAATATCCTCCGGATTATGATTCACTTCTTATGCATTATCCGCACATTAAAATCAAGTCATAGGGTCCAAAATTGTGTTGAGTTCAATCATTTTCATAGATTCGAAATTTCCCCACATTCTTCACTCCCCAAAAGAAAATCATGTAACGGAAAAGTCAATGACTAAAACCTACTTGTGGACCTACTTCTTGATTGTGTCAAATTTAATTGAGATTATTATAATACATTGGTCATGCGTACAGCCTAACCGGTGCTCCCGCAAGGGGGATTGTAGTAGGTTTCAATGCTGAGGAGAATCAGAGAATGACGACAAGATCGGTCGGGATGAAGCTGATCAAGAAGGAGACTGATAGATTCGTGTTCCAAGACCAGAATCGATCAAAATCATCTCAAGAAGAGCGTCCATTATGAAAGTCTAACCTCTGGTCCTCGAAATCTTCTTGTCGTCGAATAAGTCATAACTCATAACCGGCTGGAGACGGCGGCTGGCGCTTGCTACCGGGGTTTTAGGAGGGGAAGTGAATCCTTTTTTTTTTTTTAAATTTTATTCTTTGGGTACTCGTTCAGTTGGCGGTACAAGATGCCAATAAAATGCTTTATAATATAGAATTATATTTATAATCAATATATTTATACATAATTATAAATATAATTAAGTAGATTTTACATGAAGGGATAGTAAAAATTAATGAGAGTAAAATATTAAGTAAATATTAATTTAATAATTTAATAAAAATTATTTAAAATATTTATAATAGGATTACATGACCTATTATAAATAGATAATTATAATAATAAAAATATATCTGGCAAAAAAAAAAAATAAAAATAATTATTTTAAAAAAATAGAGTAAATTAGCTAAATGGCCTCAAAAAATACAGTTCCTATAAATTATAGATAAAATTTTTTAATATTTTAAAATATGATCCATTCATAAAATCAATTAGATGTTATTTTTTTTTTATCCTCATAATGAATATATTATTAAAACACAATATATCTCTTGTGACTAATTTTTAACATATTGAATTGTACATTCACAATCATTCTCTCATCGTAGAGGAGAGAAGTCTCATATGTTAATACTTTTCTTCTCTCTCTTTTGTTTTTCATTGGTATATTATGAAACTGAGATTTGATATTGAAAACTAAACTCCATCATCAAATTGACATTCTATGTTGCGTAGTTCAAGATCCGAATTAAAGTTGTTCTATCTTTCATTTTTTGAAAGTTAAAGAGTATTATCTATCATCAAATTTTTATCATCTTCATTAATATGGATAATATCTTCACTAAATTAATAAATCATTTATTCATAATTTGTTATTTGTTATCATTGATTATGAAATTTGTTTGAGTTACTAATAGAAAATACATTATTCTTTCATTGTTTATGATTTTTTATTTTATTATTTTAAGTATTTGATTTTTTGTGATAATCTAAGATATCTAAAATTTTTTATGAACTTAGTTTGATCTATTTTGGACAAATGATTATGTTATTTTCATGTTTCTAATTTATGATAGTATATCAGCAATATACAATAATATATCACTGATATACTTTTGCAAATCAACATTACCAAACAATCAGACATAAATTTATTTATTATTGACACACAATTGTATAACAATGATGTAGTATCATATATTAGTAACATGAAAAAACACATAATCATTTGTCTAAAACGGATCAAACACAGTCTGCAAAAAATTCTGTAGCTCTATTTCCTTGTCGATGTGCTTCATTCGGTTGAGTACCGTCGAATGTCTCTCACCTTGCATTTGTCTCTCACTACTATGATTGTGGCTTGCTCACATTGCTCTGCTTTCCATCTTCAAGTTTGATCTACTTATTTCTTCCATCATGACTGCAGCTCATGTTTATCTCTCCCGTTTGCTTGATTTCTCACATTTTGAGTATTTGCAAAAAGTAAAGTGTTATAATTTTAAAAGGGTAGTTTTATAAATTATATATCAACTAAATTTTAAAAAGGCCATTTTTAAAATTTAAGAAAGGATAAGATATTTCTTTTATTTAATTTTATGATATGGACTATATATACAAAAGCCCCAAAAAAATATAACTACTTTTATTTTTGGGTTAATGAGCATCCTAAATCTTAAACAAGTGAATAGCATCTTGAACCTTGAATTTATAAAATATTCAAAAATTCTTTTTAATTTCTAAATTTGAATGCATGAACCCCACCATTAAGTTGAAGAAAACGGTCCTTATTTTCAAGGGCTAAGGCTATATCAATGTTTGACTAAGCCCCAAATTACAAAAGTAATGGCTATTTTTTTCAATTTAAAGATAAGGTTTTAAGTGCTCAGAATTTAAAAATTAAAGAGAATTTTTGTACATTTTAAAAATTTAAGGTCCAAAATGCTATTCGTGCAATAGTTTATAATATAGAATGCTCATGACATTAACCCTTTATTTTTTATTTCTCTTGTAATGTACATAGATGTTTTTAAGATTTAGAAATAAATTTTATAATTTATTAATTTAAAATAAATTTTCTTAACTTAATATTAATTAAGTTCCCTAAATTATATATATATATATATATATATATGTATGTATGTATATGAATATAATGAAAAACAAATTTTATTTCTTAACCATGTAAAAAGCTAAAATACAATTTTAAGCAATCATTATTTTCTATAATTTTTATATCTTTTTTTGTAATTTCTTAATTAACTAACAATTAAATTTAACTTTTTTAACTGCAAAATATCCAGTCAACATTTTTAAATGTTGAAAAAAAATTTCATTTCATTTGTTTTTATGATACTAGACACATCTAAGTAAATAGTTCATGAGTCAAAATACCATTTAATCTTTTATTTTTTTCAAAGGAAATCAAACTTAATTGAACTTCATATCTAGTTCAATTTGGTTGGTTTGATTGATGTAGATTTATTTTTTTTTAAGATTTAACTAATTCAATAGTTATTTCGCAAAAAAAAAAAGGTAAAAAGATTTATTCCCTTTTTGTATGTCCAACAACAAAGAAATGTTATGAAAACGTTTATTAAAGTTATGTCATGAAGTTTTATATAAAAAAAAAAAAGTTATGTTATGAAAATGTGAGCATACATATTCAAAGAATGGCCCACTGTCCACTATTTAAATTAATTCATTTTTAAGCTGAGTTAAATAAAACTTCAGTTTTCAGTTTCTCACTTTATTTCTAATAAATTTCTATCTTTGTTTTTGGGATTTAAATTGACTTGTTTTTTTATCTATTCCTTGTTTATTGTCACTTGATAATGTTTTCATTTAAAACTCCACCCACCCCCACATCAAAATAACAAAATCACTTTTCTCTCTCAGCTGGTTTTTCTGAGGATAACCAGAGAAAAATCAGAAAAAAGAAAATCTAATCATGTGAATTATGTACAAGGAGTTGGAAAACCGAAGGTGTGGCCATTAATGAAACGCAATGCATAGGATCTAAGTAGGTAATTTGAAAGGAAATTAACATTTGAGGAGTCATTATTTATATCACATTAACTTTCGAGGAGTCATTATTTATATTATTGGTAATTAAAATCTTTAAAAAATTGAAATTCTTCCACGAATCACGGAAATACATTATGAATGCTTCTAACTGAATAACTCGTGTTCCATAAAATTATAACATGGTCTTCTAGATGCCACAAGGGTCCTTTCATTGAGGAAACAACAAATTTAAAATATCATCATAATATCAATTAGTAACTTAGAGTATACATTGTAAAAAGATAAAAAGAAAACAATATTAGCAACTTATTTTTTATGATTATCAAAGTATGAACATTTCCAATATATTTAATCATTGAAAAATACTTAAAAGCAGCATTTAAGCTGTGTTCAAACTTCAAAGAAACAATCAATTGTTGCATTCCTTGCTTGTGAAGGTGAAAATGTAGCAGAAACAGAATGCCATGGCCAGGAAATCAGGTGAAGAAGATTATTGTAGGAAGTACAAGTGAGGGAGATTTTCTGTGGACAACAAAGTAGCCAATCTAGTAGTCATTAAGCCAAGAATGAAATCCATTATGAAAAGTGTAGCATATTGATGGACAATTCTGTTTTATCAGAAAGCATACAAATTCCAATGAAGTTGAATTAGTGCATGTGAAATTCAAGGAGCAAGTAATACATATTTCTAAAAAACCACTTAAGATGAGTTTTAAAGAGATCAGACAAAACTTTAACTTCCAAATTCAACGAGTGCATGAAGTGCAAAAGGTGACATAAACGCTAGCGAAAAATGTTGAAGGCTAAGTTCTTGTAAGGATTGTAAATCCTTTTGTGCACCAAAACCCTAAGATTGTAAATACAGGAATGCAACAATCTGATAAGTGTGTTTGTGTGCGAAGTATTCAACATGATAAGTAGGGATACAGGGTATTTACAGAGCTATAAGGAAAGAAGGAACAGGCCTATATTAATCCATAACCAATCGAATTACAACAAGATGTTAAAATAACTACAACAAATACATGACTAAAACAGAACTTCTTCAACAGAAATCACAAGGACGAATAATCCAATAACTTTTCTCAAAACTTTAGGCAAATATCAACACTAGTACAAGCATATTATCGATCAAAATAGAGCCTTTGAACTTGTTTTACCATTGAAGAAGACCTCTATCTATCATTTCATAAAGAAGAATTGTTGCCCTATCATTCTCATTTTTCCTCAAAAGAGCTTGTATAAGCATTCCAAACGTCACGAAATTTGGAAGGCAACCACTCTCTTTCATCTTTGAAAGCAAGGTCAATGATTCATCAAACAAGCCTTCTTTCCAAAGTCCATTCATCATGATGCTGTAAGAGTAGACATTTAGATGATAGCCTTCATTCAAAAAGAATTCAAAGATATCCTGTGCAAAATCTAGCCTACCTCCTCTGCACAAACCATCGATCAGTATCTTATAATGTAGGCTGTATTCATCAGTTGACAATTTGCTGATATAATGCAACTGCCTCATCAAGATGCTTCATTTTGCCAAATGCATCCAACAAAATGTTGTAGGCTATTATATTAGAAGCTTGACCATTGCAACACATTTCATAAACAATATCTTGCATACGTGACATTCTCTTTGCTTTGCACAAGCCATCAATGAGAGCGCTATAAGTGATAATATTAGGAACCAAATTTTTGCAGCCCATTTCTTTAAAAAGATCCAAGGCTTCATCCAATAATTTTATTTTACAATATGCATTAATCAATATATTGTAACTCACAACGATAGGTGCCAAGCCCGTGTTCATCATCTTATTCATAGTACTCTTGACTCTTTAACATTTTTCCCCATAAAGCTCCCATTCATCAAAGAATTGAATCATCAAAGAATTGATGATTTCATACAGCATCAGATTTCATAAAGCATTTGAACATCTTCGCAAAGATAGATTGAGCTTCTATGATCCTTCTCTTTTGAAAAATGCATCCACTAGTATATTAAAGGCATAAAGATCAGGAGTGATTGTCTCTTAGGGCTATTTCATTTGAAAATCTTGCATTTGGTTGATGCAAAGAATACCATGGATTAAAATGTTGTAAGTGACAATATCAAGAGATATTCCTTGCCTGATGATTTCAGAACATAATTCAAATACCTCATTTACAAGCCCTTCCTTACAAAAGCCATTCATGGCTCTGTTATACATAATCAAATTAAGATTAGTTTTAATTATCTGCCTCCCCGTCATTTGGAGCAATTTAACAATTTTTCCAATTTTACAGAGCCCTTTACTAATTAAGGTTCCATAAGTAACTGAACCTGAGCAAAATCCTTTTCTCAACAGAGTCCTTTCATCAACGTAGTCGTTGTTACAGTATTCGGTTGGCAACCCCACTTGAAAATCTTACCCAATGAAGAGAAAGCAGAAGCCATGTCACCCACATGACAATAACAATTGATCAAAATGGACAGAGTAATTAAACATGGTTGAAATCCTTTCAGTTCCGCCTGGGCAGAAAGTGAGATAACTACTTGGTCGTGTCTGGCATTTGCAAGTGATCCTAAAATCTTATTAATTTCGACAATGGAGGGCGGGGTACACATGGAGAGCAAGCGATTGAACAAAGCCACGGAGTCTCGGACGCTATTAGGGTTTGGAAAATGGGAATGAACACAAAATTGCAGAATGAGGGCGTAGGGGAGAGAAAGAAGGGTCTAGATCGAGAGGACTGCAGAAAGAGAGGAGATTTCGGGAAGGCATACCTTGAAGTAGCAGAAGAGAAAAACGTCTTCATATGAGATTGGTAGAAGAGTGTCGGATACCTCCACGCGGCTTCATCGAAAGGGGAAAAGCGAGAAGGAATCGAAAACCTAGCCGCAAAGATGAGACCATTTCGTTTCTGGCCAAAGAGCACTGAGACTTGGAAAGATGAGAAGAAAGCCCAGATTAACTGATTAATTGACAGGCGAAACATGATTCGGGAGAAATAGGTAACATACTTAATAAATCACTTTGAACTTCTTTTGTCACAGTAAATTATGTTTAATTTAATTTAATTTTTTTACAGTTTTGTTCTTAAAAACTATTTTACAATATAATTTTTAAACTTATTTTTCAACAAAAATAAAAAATTATTTGATTATGTTAATTTAAAAATTAATTTTATAGTTAAAAATTTGCCAATAGTAATAGTTGCTTGTTGCTGATTGTGATGGTTTTTAATAATAATTGATTTAAGTGACTGTAATTTTTAACAATCAAATGTGATGTATTTTAAAAAAATAATAATATGAAATAAAATATTTTAAAAAAATAAAAAATAAGAATAATTTTAAAAATAATTAAATTCAAATCACTAATTTAAATGAGTTTTTTTTTATTTTTAAGAATAAAACCCAAACAAGTCCTTAATATCTTACATCTACATATATTTATTTACAATGTACATCTACAATCTAATATAACAGCGGTTATGGGTATTACACACCTATGATACCTAGAAGATTTTTTTCCTTTTTTAAAGAAATATATGATAATTTTTTAAAATATAATATAATAAATATAAATAAAGTAAATAATAATCTTATAATGAAAAATGGGTGAAGGACCCGCAATAAAAAAAATGAATGATGAATATGGAACTTATAATAAAAATGAAAAAAATATAATCTTTCAATCTTTATAATTTTAACTCGATTATAATTTAATCACTAAACTTTGACCAATTGTAATTCAGTTTTCATAATTTTAACTTGATTGTAACTCAATTTTTTAAATTTTGACTCGACGTAACTCAATTCCTATAATTTTAGTAATTTAAAATACCAATCTCCATATTTTAAAAAATGTAATTATAAAACTAAAATTATTTAAAAATTATATTCTTTATAAAGATTAAAAGTTTTAGTAATTCAAAATAATAATCCATAATTTTAAAATAATTTTATTTTTTAAAATATAGGAAATAATATTTTAAATAATTAAAACTAGAATGATCGAATTGCAACGAGTTAAAGTTTAAAAATTAAATTATAACCCAATCAAAACTATAAAAACTAATTTATAATGAATTAAAGTTTAGAAATTAAGTTATAATTAAGTCAAAAGTACAAGGACTAAAAAATTAATTTTTTGTGAAACACGTAATAAGCTTACATATTAAATTTAAAAAAAATGTAAAATATGTGGGTATGAAGTTAATGAATTTTTTTATTTTTAGAATTTTAATTTATACATGACAATAAATTCTAAAAAATAATTTGTGGCTTCTATTTTTAACATGAGTAAAAGGTAATAATAGTGTAGTGAAACAATTTTTTGTTTTACTTTTAGCATGTAAAAGATAAACAAATTCTAAAAAAGAAATAATTGCTATTAAAATAGCTTTTAGTATACATGGGTAATTAATTTTAGAATAAGATTACCTACAATAAATTTTAGAATAAAATATTTTGTTTAAATCTTTTATAAAGGTCAAATGACAAATTCTAACTAATGAAAGTTACAACTCATACGTCAACAAAGGCAAGAAAGAGAAATATGCAAATAAAAAAAAACACCCTCTTTTTGGTGAAATTGTGAAAGTAAGAAACTTTCATAATGCATGAAAATCTTCAACCCTCTCAGCCTTAATCCTCGTGTGACTGATTGATTTCTAGGACCTTGTGAAGACATGCCACCAAAAATTGGCTTGGAGAAGTAGAGGACTTAGTAAAATGAAATCATTGCAACTCTTCTTCTCCAAAATAGAATATTGCTACACAAAAATTAAGGTTCTTTCTTTTGAATTTTGAAATTTTGATAATCGAGTTAGAAGAATCATTTGTTGAGCCTGTATAAGCTGGTGAGTAGCAACCCATGATAACTTTTCTTGAAGAAAAACTATCCAAATGATTATTGTTTTTACATTTACACAAATATGAGGAAGTTGTCCAAGTACAAGTAGATTTGAGGAATTTGAAACGTTCTTGAAAGTCCCTAATTAATTGATGTGGGGTTAAAATTTTCCCCTTGTGTAAGACTTGATTCCTTGTCATCCATATAAAGTGCAGAAGAGGCAAAATTTCCTCAACTATGGAAAGATCGCTAACTATATATAATTTATCCAAAATTCTAAGAAGCCAGTGAATCAAACATTAATCAAAAATTTCGTTTAAACAAATTCTCAAAAAGCCGAACCAAACAGCTTTAACAAAAAAAACATTCATAAAAATGTACGAAGCAAGGAATCTTGTAAATCGCATCCAAAAGAACACATAATTGAGGTAGGAACATGATGAGCTGAAAGAATGTATCTTGTAGGGATTATTTTATATGCTGATTTCCATATGAAAAGTATAATGAAGATGTAATTTTTAAAGAAAATCCCAAATGCTTTCCTTTGCAAGACGTGAATCCCCTGCATGCCTATTAAGAAATCTAATATGTTGCTGAATTGTATAAGTGCTAGAATTCTAGAATATATTTAACAAGCCACGGAAAGATAATAGGTTTTGATGATTTGTTGAACTAACTTCAAGTCATACAAATTCCTTAATAAGGAATACTTCAACTAAGTTGAAACCAAAAGTTAGGCTCTGAATCATCAAATTAGCTATTGTGGAGACATCAAAGGCTTTAGCAGTGGAAGGATTAGAAGGAGACCGGCCATTGAAGCTTATGAGTGATCGAAATGGAGGCTCCATTTCTAATTTGCCACTTGAGTTTATCAATAATAAGATCAAACGAATCAAATATATTCTTCTAAAACCATGAAGCATTGTAAGGCTACTTCAAGAAGAAATCATTTTGAGAATTCACTTACTTTCACTTTTAATACATGAAACATTCTCACTTCACTAAATATAATTAACTAATATAACACTTGATAATTAGAGACTTAACTCAACAAGATGATTATCAAGGTTCAACTCAAAAGTAAGAGATCCTAAATTTTTTAAATAAAAAAATGAGTTAAAATCAATCAAAATCTTTCATATCAGATAAAAATAAATTATGAAAGCATAGAATACCTCAGATGAGTGAAAGAAGTCGAAAACGGTTGAAAAACAAAACATGTGCTATGAAACAGGACAATGCGCCACAGCGTATTACTCTCTATGCCACGCGTCGTGGCTTAGCCACCATGCGCAGTAGCATGTTGCAAGAAATTTCAACTGATTCTGTTGTCATTTGACAAGCAGAATCAGGAGAACTTCTAACTCGCCTCAATTCTTTGTCTGATATCTGAATGATGTGATCTAGATGTTTATAGAAAGCTCTTTACATGAACTAACTAACGGCATAGGGTTCACTTTCAAAATAAGTCACACTAGTAAGTTGGACACTTAAACACATTTCAATCACTTTTCACAACTTTAACACCAAATGGGTCTCCAAAACCCTCAACATGTGCCAAAAGCTTTTCCTAATACCTGGACCATGTCCGATGGACCTAGGATTATCGGTATAACACGTTACAAGCACTGAAACATCAGTATAACAAAAATTTACTCCTCAACCCAATTTTACCAAAAACAATGGGGGAGATAATTTGTCATTGTATCTTGTCCAAATCATTCAAAATATGTTCAAATCATTATTTCTACACTTGTACTAATATTTTAGCCCTAGAAATATATATATATATACACACACACACACACAAAGACTAAGGGTCCAAAGTACAAATCTAACATTTCCAACAACAAAATAATGCAAGTGTGATGGCATGCATTCTAGAATTGGCAATTCATATGCTATTACATAATGAAATCTAAACTAGAGGCATACAGTAAGAAAATATACTAATTCTCCACCTCTTTAGTCTTCTCCCTCTCAACACCAAAGCTAGAGCCTGAAAAATGTTAAATGAAAGGGGTAAGTCTAGCCACTTAGTAATCAAGGTTGAACCTACTCTATGCAGTTATATATTAATTATAAATCAAATACATGTACAAGGAAATCAAGTATATAAAACAAGTTGGCATATAACATATTTTATCGTTTATCATTAAATAACTTCTTTAACTCTCATAATTAGGTGCATTTTCACCATATTCTCAGGGATGTGACATAAACCATACTCATGTGACTTGCCACTACTTATTATGCATGACATGTCATATATTTACTTAGGCAATGATCAACTAACTTTATATCCTCCTTATTTTCTTAGACTGAAATTGTGAGCTATAACACTAACAAGGGCTCCATATGTGTGATGGACTACCCAAGCTCATCAATCATGAGGTGTGATCCGGCCAAAAATCACAGACTCACTTTTAGACCATGGCTTCCCCCATTATTGAATCATTGGGATGTCTCATATCCCTAAGCTATTCTCCTCATTAAACTAGTGGAGATAGCTAGATTTTAGTCCCTTGATAAACAGTGAAACAAGGCTATAGCTCCTGTGCATTGGAGGGCAGCCTAATTACCATATAGATTTTCTCTGCTCCTAAATTCCTAGGCAAACTCCCCTCACTGATCATGCCATAAACCATACTTAGGGTCTATTTAGTTTTCCTCCGTTTCACATTCAGAAAGGAAAATTTTACTTTTAAAAAGTTCAAAGTTGTTTGGGTAGAATATTTTGTAGGAAAGCATGTAACACCCTCAAAAATACAAATCGATTTTTCACAAATTATTAAAACCATTATCGTGGTAGAAAATTTTCTTACCATGATACATCCAAGACATAACACAAGTCTTAAAATATTCTAAAAGGCAATTAAAACCATTAGAGACAGACATAATCCTCATGTCATGATATTCAAATCAGATCATAAATCAAGAGGGACAGACATAATCCTCTTGATCATATAAATACTTTTAATAAAAAGGATTAGAGTTTACATGCTTCACAAAGAAGATATGTCCTAAGTTAGCACAAGATACATTGTATAATCCAAAATAAGAGGCAACGTAAAAGATGGTGTCTCATACACCATAGTTATACCTCTGGTGCTTTCTCGGCCGGACTCGCTCCTGTAA